AATCAAACAAATTCGACAAGAACATGACAGTTGTACGACAAGGGATCAAGATTTCTTGGCACCATAATCATCACACCGTGTTTGAAGTGTAATAGTTAGCACAAAATGAACTGATCGATGCTGACTGGTTACAGGGCACTGGTAACAGTTATCTATGGAAAGAATTCAACCTTCAGATTATCGTCGATAGAATATCTCAGTAAGTCACAGGCTAGTCGATTTGATATTCGTGAATGCACTAGTGAGGTAGTTCAAGTCAACGGTGATCTTTCTCTTGATTCATGATTGAGCTCTATACTATCCGATGATTTCGGTAGTTGAAGTACATTCTTGAGCATAGTATCTGGTATAATTCGTTTAGTTCATTTGAATGATCTGCTTTATAATGGTATTTGAAGAATTTCGTTTAGTTCTTTCGAAAATCTGAATGAATTCTTCTTGTCTAAAAAGAGGTAGAAGTCAGGATCCATAGTTGATCCTGTATCCTGTCCTATGTACGGGTAAGGTACCTGACTCTACCTATGTATTATAGTAATTGACTCGGCACTAGTAAATCTGCATTTGCTTTAATTTATAATGGTATTTGAAGAATTTCGTTTAGTTCTTTCGAAAATCTGAATGAATTCTTCTTACAATCAGATGCGGACCATCCTATTCTAGCTGATGATTCTTCTGCTCGCAATTGAGCTGAGATCGCGATCGGCGGATTTTTCTATGACTCACTACTGTAACTCGAATTCACATTAGTTATTCTTCTCTTGGTTATGTAACAGTTGAACTGTGATCGTGCTGTTTGATTTATTAGAATCACCATTGATTGAAGCCATCCGGGGATCTTCTTAGTTGATATGAACTTAGTTAGGGAAGCTGTTCTCATGATCGTCGTGTGATGCTTTCAATCTTTGAATCTTTTCTATTCTATCTGAGTAGTCTGACCCTATCGCTTTCGAGTGGAGTAGAGCAGAGTTCTGTCTTCGTGAAGGAAGTCAGTCATCTGATGATCTGTTCGTCAGACAACAGTGAAACCAATGATATTTGCTAATTCCTTGAAAAAATTCCGTTCTATCTTGTATAGAATTAAAGGTTATTACGAATTGTCATCACTTCTTCAAACTTTTGAAGGGTTTTGTTGAATGTAATAGGAATTCTTAAGATACCTGATAAGTCCCCCGAGAAAGGACGAAACGTCGTGTCGATCTCTGAATTCTAAATATCTTCCATTCGATCTTTGGTATTTCTTTCGAGAGATCCTTAGATACTTTGCCATCTGATGATTCCTTTAGCCGGGATGAAATCTAGATTATGGTAGCTGGTCTCACCCTCACCTTCAATTGTTCTGTAGTTTGAAATGAGGAGAGCCTCATTTTCACGAAACGTCGCTATAGGGAACGCAAAATAAGTGGATATCGTTCTTGGACGAAAGTTCGGCAATCGTCGCTATTAGGGACAAAAAATGGCTTAACGTCGCTATTAAGGACTAAATTTTGCTCGGCGTCAGTACTAAGGTCATAAATTTTTGAAACAGTTCTGAACGTCTTTCTCTCGCATGTACGATCCCACAAAAGTCCGATCTGATCTTCCTGAACTGCTGGATTTTGAGAGAGTTTGATATTAGCTTCAAAAATGCTAGCGGGACTTGACATGTATTTCCTTCAGAAAATGTGCAAAATCAACGTTTTCTCGCGAGGTAACCTATTCCTGTTTAATTGAACAGAACATTGCTATTAGGGACAAAAACATCGCTTGCCGTCATTATTACGGAACGTACTCCTAGGAACGACGGAGCAACATCTCCATCGCTTACCGCTCGTATCTCCGCCAAAGTACGTCAGAAAACGGTCGGGGATATCGCGTTTGAAAGAGGAGACTCGGAAGATTAACCGAGCACAAAAGTCCCTTCAATAGACTTTGAAATGGTAGTGCACCGAATCCAACAAGGTCAATGACTAATTTTCCGTCAGTATTAAGGTACCTGACTCTACCTATGTATTATGGTAATTGATCTCGGCATTAGTAAATCTGCATTGCTTTAAATCAAGTATTTAGAGAAATTCAATGCAATTTATTTCATTTGTGACATCAACAATCGATTGCTGAAAAGCAAGAGTTGAGATTAGCAAATTGATTTGTATTATAGATGGAATACAAGTTAGTTTGTTTTTCATTCGTTGTTGTACTGGTCTCAGTCGCAGTCCGATGCCACTTCTGTATCCGAATCGGCATCTATCGTGATTGTTTTACCATCACTCATTTGTATTCCTGTTTTACCAATAAATTTTAGTGGATACCTGGGAGGTCGACTATAAAATGTCTCTCCACCTTCCTGGCGGTAGCATATAATTTGAAGCAATTCCTTATCTCGAACACACCACTCGGGGAAGGATTTGGGCCACCCTGCCCAAGGATCATGAATCGCCATGCAACTGTCGTATTTCTTTTTAAACCAGTCTCCATTTGAATCATGCACATGTTTCCCTAACCGCTTCATGTTTCCTACATTAAGCTCGACTTCAATAGTAAACGTACTGCATCCTTTGCTTCGATAGCTAGATATTGTCGTTGCCACATCGCGCAGGGTTAGGTAAATTCCAGGTCCAAGTCTTCCATCATTTGACTCTACAAGCCCGTGCTCGTCGATCTTGCCTGCAGTCCAGTGTTGTCACTTCATACATACACAGAATCGCGTGAAGCACTAGTGAATTTATACATCGTGCACCGTTTACTCTATGTTGCGGGGGAAAATGTAGTCGCTGTTGGCTGTGGTGTAGAAAAAGTGAGCAGCCGTTTACTCTACGTTGTTGTGGAAACTGTAGTCGATGCTGGCCTTGGTGTCGAACTTATAAGATTGCATCAGAAAAATGTCCATGGGTCAAGCAAGATCAAGATGCAACACGAGAAATAATTATCATTATGGAACACTCGGAATATTGTTATTCGAACGCGGCACCATACGAAATAACAAAATTTTATCTTGTCAAGAATAAAGACTTTGATAATACAGATTTTAACCGTAAGAAAGAAGCAGCTGAAACATTATGTCGAACAGTGATGTTGTTTGGTTTCGATTCGTTGCTGCTTGATATTCTGAACCAACAACGAATCGAATTGTTTGGTGATGAGAGAAAAGATGAAGTTTTACCTACACAACATAGTTATGTAAATAGTAGAACCGTTAAAGCAGCCATTCAGCCCAATAGCTTTAAACAAAATTATTTTTGATCTATTTAGTATTACTGAATAGGTGAATCTAAGAGTCGTAAACACTCATAGGCTGCAACAAGACTTTTCCATGTGCACTTGCTATGCAATTCAAAGATCCAACTTACGATCTATTGCGAGATAAAAGGGTTCCAGCTGTATATTAAAATAATAAATCATGTGTCAGAAAAACATACTGCGTTCCTAGACATAGTATATGTTTTAAAGGAAGGAGGATAACTTCAGTAACACCACGCTGATGAGAAACGAGCTGTGCACTTGTCTCGTAGCAGGTGCACACCAGGATCTTGGCCTCATAAACTTTTTCACGTGCAATTATAATTATTTATTTAAGTTAACTTATCTCACTTTAAGAAGAACGGGCGTTTTCGGAAAAGTTTAATACTAGTTTATGGAAAAATTTCCTAAAAAAAAAGCTATTGATCCGAGAACCGCTTGCTATCCCTATTTCGAAAAGCACAGACGAGTCGCACACAAAGGTTGACATTTGCCACTGTCCGTTGATGGGGGAGTGGTATATATTTGAATTGTTCATCATCAGCACAATGTTCTGCAATATTGCCGTAACTTTATACCAAGAAGAGGAACGTCAGTGAGCAATTTTTAACCTCTGATTGTACGAGTGATCGAAAATGAGCACTTGTTATCCTCAATTTTAACAACAACAGGCCATGTCCGCATCCTGGTTATTGACAATGTTGTACTACAAATTAAGACGTATATATGCAAAATAGTCCGTTTAAATGTTCTCGAAAGAAAAACTATTCATCTATCCATTCATTTACTAGAGCGACAGTAACTACATTCATAATAATAGTCAATATCTTCAACGTCATTATCGAATAACCTTTGATGAAGGATAATTGTTAGTCAATCGGGATAATGATAATTCCGATACAGTATAGTGAACTTGTCTAGTATGATGGTCAGAATATGATAATGTATATAATAGTATAAATGACTCGAAAATTTCCCTTTCACAAACACAGTAGAAACCTTAGATATCGTACATTTTCTGAGAAAGGCTCATTTCTGATAGATCCAACATGTTAAAAGAAAATTCCAACTGTGCAGTAGTAAAATAAAACGAAGTTTGTATGTCCCTATTCTCTCACTCCCTGCAACTGCCGTATACTTACTAAGTAGATTAGTTATTTTTTTACTTTAATTCTGCTTTAAAAAAGTTAAAACGCAGATATAAACTGCAAAAAGTTCGAATATAAAAGTGGTCTTCACAGCATCACTTTCAGAAATAAGTGCCTTGTATAACAGACACTGCTTTTTCGTCTCATCTGAAATAATAAGAAAAACATCGATATCTTCAAGCACACGCGTGTTTACCGTATAAGTCATGTGGAGACAAATGTGTAGACTACCTGTATATAAATTCTTTGAATTGAAAAATGTCAGGAAAGTATATATGAGTTATATAAAAGATGTTCGTTCGTATGAATAAATATAGAAACGAACACACCTGTATCGTATAAACAAAATGTCGCTCTATAGCTAACCGATTTAATTTATTTTTACTAACCAGATAACCAAGTCTTTCTGGCCAGTCACTGATTTCCTGACCAGGAAATCAGTTAAAAACCAAAAATCAGGCACTGATTTGTGTTAAGACTAGTCACTAGTTTCATGACCAGGATCCTGATATGCCTGACCAGGTCATCAGATCGTTCACTAGGAGAGAATTATCGTGGTGGGATGGCGAGCGCCACGGGGCGGGTCCTGCAGGGCATCAAAATTCGATGCCCCACACACCTCTGCTTCCGAGAACGAGTTTACAAACCGAATAAGCTATATCAGTTAACCAAAACTGTTGTATGCCTAATCACTTTCTTATAGATAGATATAACAAATACAAATAATAGCAAATGGAGAGTATTTTTTAAACTTTTGACGTTTGTATACACAGGATGGAAGAAATTAAGTTTTTTTTGATGAAAAAGAAAAAGGATTCGTCCAGAAATATAGTGATCGCTTTACTTGGGAATGGTATAACCAGAATTTGTAAGAGAACCTGTTAAATCTTGTAGAGTACGAGGTAAGAAGATGAAGAGATCCAATGCATTTTATGAGTCATACTCTTACAGATCAGGGAGCTTGAACTCACCCAATTATGTATAAAAAATAGAAATATTATTATAGGAGAACAAATGAAAATAATCGACATGATATTTATCTTGAGAAGTAGCTACTATCAGCAAGTAGGTAAATTCAAAAATACACATAGCGGCGGCGGACTCAACGATCTTTGAGGGTACAGATGTCAGTTCCCGGATTTTAGCAAATTGTATTATATTCTCAATGAAGAAGCAGACAATAGAATGCAATATGGTGAGGAACAGATAGTTTGTTATAAAGAGGAGAAGCATGCTCGGTTTAAATGCGCGTGACGGAATTACATTTTTTCAACTTTTGGGTTCTGTTTCTCCTCAAATATTGAACAAAAGATGACAAAATTTTTATCAGAGATGTGCGGTAGAATGTTTGGTTTGTGGTAAAAATTTCGAACGCATCGGTTACGTAGAAAGATTTTTATGAGCAAAATAGGTGTCGTGACGGAATCACATTTTTTAGCCTTCTTTTTGTAGTGCTCTACAAACTTTGAAAAATGCTCGAAAACAAGACATATTCAGAAAAACGTTTAATATAAAAGTTATAGAGCATGAAAAGAGCTTTCGAATCGTTCCTTTACGTTCACTCAGAAATGTTTAAAAGGAAAGAAACAAGCGAAATGGCTCCGTGGCGGAATTACATCATTTTTTTTCTTTCTTTTGCTGTGGGTTTTATCATTACATTTCTACCGGTAAAAAGACTTCTATAAACTTGATCTGCATGGAGCCTTATGCAATCGAGTGCCCTCTATCAAACCAAGCAAAACAGAACGGTGAGAGAAATGTTTTCGATTTTCGTAGAATTGCTCCAAAAAAAGTAGCATTTCGAATTCGGCAAAAACCACCAAAAACTTGTTTAGCGTGTAAAATGCGTTTTTTAAGGTTGTTTCGACAAAGTCAATAGTGCATTTTGTAGAGAATTTAATTTTTCATCCACTAATATACTTTCTGAAATTTTTTTAAAAAACTAAGTAGGTTGGACAATTGAAATAAAAAACTTCTAAATTTTAAATTTGAATTTTCGATCTAAAAATTTGAGTTAAAATTGCTATTCGTAATCAGCGCAAAAAACTGCATCTAGTGATGTGCTTTTAAGGCTGGTGTGAGAGAAAACATATCCCTCCACCGACCAAGACAACGTTATTTTCTAAATCGGACGCAGGGTACCGAAATAAGCTTTACATTCCAAAAGTCTATTCTAAAATTCTTAAGAGTTTTCCACCTGTCGAAAACCGAATGGTTTGATAGGAAATAATTCAAATACTCGAAAAGGAATTTTTTAAAATCGGCAGTCGAATATCCTGATATGTTTTAGGTTTTAGAAAAGTTTGAAATAAAAAGAGTTTTAGACAATATCTTGTTCAGTACTTGAGCATTGAACTACAAAATCGCCTATATATTGAAGTTATCATGTTTATCGAAGTCACAACTTCTATTAACATACTTTATCGAACTTATAACTTCGATAAGGTGGGCCATCGAAGTTGGCTTGATTAAGCTAAACGGTAATTAATTGATTATTTGAATGACATGATCAAAAATAGCTAAAGAGCAGCGATTTGTTTGTCGATTGAAACTGCAGAAGTTATTTTAAAAAAGTGTTCAGTACAATAATTGGTGTAACATAATTTGGAATAAAAGTACAAATTATCAATCAATACAGAGTACATGACTGCTTGTAAACTTCTTTTTCAAGAATCGAACAAACAGAGGAGTACAAAATACACAGTCGTTGAAACGTTGAAACGTTATGATCAAAGAATTGAATTAATAAACGGTGCAAAATTAAAACGCTATAGCGACCCAGGTGAACAAGAAATAGCACTCTTTAAAACGTATGACGTAATCAATGTTGGTGGTCAACAGAAGCTACTTAAAAAGATTTGCTCATCCGTCTGTAGTACATTAAATATTCTGTTTCATCTAACGAACTATTCGACGTAATATAAACATCTCATATTACAACTGGTCACCATGGTATTAATAACACAGTGAAAGAGAGAAAAAAAATGATGTAATTCCGCCACGGAGCCATTTCGCTTGTTTCTTTCCTTTTAAACATTTCTGAGTGAACGTAAAGGAACGATTCGA